TCCCCTATTTTTCCAAAGGTCCCCCCAGAGAATTGCACAGTTGAATAACTACCATCTTGTTCGTGAAGACAAAGGTTCTTTTGACTATTTCTTGTGTCTGGTTGGCTTTTTATACTGCTGCTCCCTCTTCTTATGCAACTTTCAATGACCGCTGGATTTTGACTTCAAGGCCCTTTTCTTCATTAATCTGCTGCAATGCGATGTTGGTGATTTCTTTTTAGATGTGTGCATTGTTATGCCCCCACATGCCCCAGAGTTCAGTTCAGCCAGCCGTGGAGGGAGGGTCGCTGGGGTCACGCGCTACAATAAACGCCAATATTTTTGGGTTAATTAAGGCTACAGTGACAGATCACAGATCTAGGGGTATCACAAAGTGTATAACCGCCGCGAATAGGAAAGAAAAAACACAGTGCTACCACTAGAACTTTGTGTTAAACAGTGAATTCACCAGACAGGCCACGTGGGAGGGCCCACGAGGCTTTGTTTACATATTGGGTCAAGTGATCAGTGATACAGTGAATTGGTGAACTGTAACACAACAGACACACCGATATAGTGACTGACTCCAGAGATTTGTGTTAGATAGAGAAGAACCGCCATCATCAATCTACTGGATTAGTGAATCACCACGTGGGAGGCGACGACGGATCACTTCGTCATCCAGCATCGTAATTATTCACCTGGTTGTGTGAGTGGGAGGCTGACAGGTAGGTACCCCTCTCTGGTCAATTCTTCAGGTGTACAGAGGTAAAATGTTATCAAATTCTTGTTCAGTATATCATATACATTTAAAATATCTAAGTGGCTCATTTTGGGTAGAGGTTGACATTTTACGGGACCCCCGTAACACACGCACGCACACACGCACAAGTTCGTTTGCAAGCACACACGCACGCACACGCAAAAACAAACACACACACACACATACACACACACACACACACACACACACACACACACACACACACACACACACACACACACACACACACACACACACAAAGCACGCACACACACATACGTCAGGCTAGAAAGAACTAACACCTTTCGTGGAAAGAGGATAAAACCTCACTCATAATCCACCCCCTCTCTTACCTGCCGTAATCTGAAGACAACACCTCACCCACTTCCTCTTAACCCTCATCACACACACACACCACCCTCCATCTCGTTCTCTCTGTTCTTTTTTTTCTCTCTCTCTCTCTCTCTCTCTCTCTCTCTCTCTCTCTCTCTCTCTCTCTCTCTCTCTTTCTCTCTCTCTCTCTCTCTCTCTCTCTCTCTCTCTCTCTCTCTCTCTCTCTCTCTCTCTCTCTCTCTCTCTCTCTCTCTCTCTCTTGACAAGGGACAAAATGGCAGGAGGATGTAACAGGGACACAGGGAATAGTCAAAGTGACCACACGAAGGAAATCTTAACCCAAGTTCTGGAGGAATTCAGGAGGGAGATATATGAAATGAGGATTACAATTAACAACCTGCAAAGTGAGCTGACATCAGCAAGGGAGGAGATAAATCCCTCACAGAGAAAAATAAAGAGACCGAGCATCAGATTATCATCCAAAGGGAAGGTGGGAATGTTACAGTGGAAGGAAATGCCTCCGTACCTGAAACATTTGTGGAAAGACTGAGAAAGAGCTCAGATGCAATGGACACAGTGAGGGAGGTAGCCATGCAAGCAGCTACCTCACAGGAAGCAGCAAGGTGAACCACTCAGCTGCTGGAGAGAAAAAAATCAGTGGTAGTTGTAGGCATCAAAGAACAGGAAGGATCCAACAGGCAAAAATGGAATAGCAAGGATAGAGAGGCAGTACATGGGCTACTGAAGGGGTTACAGAAGGAAGGGGCTGAACAAAACATTGAGAAGGTTTTCAGGTTGGGCTGGTACAACAAGGACAGAAACCGACTTGTAAAGGTGGTGTTTACAAACGAAGCCACGAAGGAGGATATTCTCGAAAGGAAGAGTCGTCTGCTGTATGTGGAGGAATACAAAAAAGTATTCCTGCAGAGGGACAGGACGAAGGAGGAGAGAGCCAGGGCAGCAGAGGCAAGGAGGAAGCGCAGGGAGAGAGGAGTAAACCAGGAAATCGCAGCCCCCCAACACAACAGTCCCAGAGACAAGAGGGGAACCCAAAACCAGCATCCCAGCAACACCACCACCCCCTCTGCATAGAAACCCTCCCTTCCCCTCACCCTACCTGCCAACCCCCCCCACCCCATTCTGACCCTGTCACCCCTCCCCCATTCCCATCATGTCCCCCCTCCCGCCTTTCCCCCCCTCCCCTTTCATCCCATACCCTCCCTATCCCTCCTCCCCCCTCACCCCGTATCCTCTATGTCCCCCCTATCTCCTTAACCCACACCCTACCTATCCCCCCTTCCCTTAAACCCCCACCCCCCACCCCAAAATCCTCTGAGACCCTGCAAACCACCTCACAGATCCTCTCGCCCACGGAACAGATTCCCACACCAGCAGAATTTTCGCCAAGAAGGGGACAAGAAAATGAACAGAAGAAAGTGAGCTTCAAGGCAATGTACACTAACATAGATGGGATTACAAATAAAACAAGTGAACTCGCCAGGGCAATCAAGGAACGTGCCCAGACATAATAGCACTCACAGAAACAAAGTTAACGAAAACCATAACAAACGCAGTGTTTTCACAGGGCTACTATGTAGTGAGGAAAGAAAGAGACGGGAGAGGAGGTGGTGTAGCTTTGCTAATAAGAGGAGGTTGGAGTTTCGAAGAGATGGTAATTCAGAACTGAGAAGGTTTCAGTGACTACATATCAGGCACCATAGCAACTGGAGGACAGAAAATTATAGTAGTAGTCATATATAACCCCCCACCGAACGACAGAAAACCCAGACAGGAATATGATAGAAACAACTTGGCCACCAACCTAACCATCAATATAATAGAGAGAGCAGCTTCTGTGGCTAGCCGGAACAGATCCAGACTACTAATCATGGGAGACTTCAACCATGGGAAGATAGATTGGGGGAACAGAGACCCACATGGAGAGCTAAGAGTGGCTACAAGAAACTTTCTAAGTCAACACGTCAAGGGACCGACAAGAGTATGGACTATGATGGACATGATGGACTATGTCACCCAAAAGTGTCAGGAGGCTGTGAGCAGGTTTGTCCCAGCCCGACAGGAAAAAACAGAGAAGCAAAAGAAGAATCCGTGGTTTAATATTATATATATATATATATATATATATATATATATATATATATATATATATATATATATATATATATATATATATATATATATATATATATATATATATATATATATATATATATATATATATATATATATATATATATATATATATATATATATATATATATATATATATATATATATATATATATATATATATATATATATATATATATATATATATATATATATATATATATATATATATATGTATATATATATGTATATATATATATATATATATATATATATATATATATATATATATATATATATATATATATGTCGTACCTAGTAGCCAGAACTCACTTCTCAGCCTACTATTCAAGGCCCGATTTGCCTAATAAGCCAAGTTTTCCTGAATTAATATATTTACTATATTTTTTTCTTATGAAATGATAAAGCAACCCTTTTCTCTATGTATGAGGTCAAGTTTTTTTTATTGGAGTTAAAATTAACGTTGATATATGACCGAACCTAACCAACCCTACCTAACCTAACCTAACCTATATTTATCGGTAAGGTTAGGTTAGGTAGCCAAAAAAAGCTAGGTTAGGTTAGGTTAGGTAGGTTAGGTAGACGAAAAAAACATTAATTCATGAAAACTTGGCTTATTAGGCAAATCGGGCCTTGAATAGTAGGCTGAGAAGTGCGTTCTGGCTATTAGGTACGACATATATATATATATATATATATATATATATTTTGGTAGCAGTCTTTCCTGTAGACATATATTATTAAATATGACCGAAAAAGTAAGATTAATAATTCTAACACGAATTTTCTCTATCTTTCGTACATTACGCTTCACTGTTGGAGGTAAATCAAAAATCACTTCTCCAAAATTCATTTTTATTTCTAGTCTGACGCGACACGGGCGCGTTTCGCAAAACTTATTACATTTTCAAAGACTTCACAAATACACAACTGATTAGAACTTACGTCTCTCTGATATTATATCTACATTTGAGTGAGGTGGGAAGGATGATGTGGCATTAACACAAGACAGAACAGGGGATATTAATAGGGTATTAAAAGTATCAACACAAGACAGAACAGAAACAATGGGTATTGAATAGAAGTGTTTGTAGAAAGCCTATTGGTCCATATTTCTTGATGCTTCTATATTGGAGCGGAGTCTTGAGGTGGGTAGAATATAGTTGTGCAATAATTGGCTGTTGATTGCTGGTGTTGACTTCTTGATGTGTAGTGCCTCGCAAACGTCAAGCCGCCTGCTATCGCTGTATCTATCGATGATTTCTGTGTTGTTTACTAGGATTTCTCTGGCGATGGTTTGGTTATGGGAAGAGATTATATGTTCCTTAATGGAGCCCTGTTGCTTATGCATCGTTAAACGCCTAGAAAGAGATGTTGTTGTCTTGCCTATATACTGGGTTTTTTGGAGCTTACAGTCCCCAAGTGGGCATTTGAAGGCATAGACGACGTTAGTCTCTTTTAAAGCGTTCTGTTTTGTGTCTGGAGAGTTTCTCATGAGTAGGCTGGCCGTTTTTCTGGTTTTATAGTAAATCGTCAGTTGTATCCTCTGATTTTTGTCTGTAGGGATAACGTTTCTATTAACAATATCTTTCAGGACCCTTTCCTCCGTTTTATGAGCTGTGGAAAAGAAGTTCCTGCCCACTTCAAATGCCCACTTGGGGACTGTAAGCTCCAAAAAAACCCAGTATATAGGCAAGACAACAACATCTCTTTCTAGGCGTTTAACGATGCATAAGCAACAGGGCTCCATTAAGGAACATATAATCTCTTCCCATAACCAAACCATCGCCAGAGAAATCCTAGTAAACAACACAGAAATCATCGATAGATACAGCGATAGCAGGCGGCTTGACGTTTGCGAGGCACTACACATCAAGAAGTCAACACCAGCAATCAACAGCCAATTATTGCACAACTATATTCTACCCACCTCAAGACTCCGCTCCAATATAGAAGCATCAAGAAATATGGACCAATAGGCTTTCTACAAACACTTCTATTCAATACCCATTGTTTCTGTTCTGTCTTGTGTTGATACTTTTAATACCCTATTAATATCCCCTGTTCTGTCTTGTGTTAATGCCACATCATCCTTCCCACCTCACTCAAATGTAGATATAATATCAGAGAGACGTAAGTTCTAATCAGTTGTGTATTTGTGAAGTCTTTGAAAATGTAATAAGTTTTGCGAAACGCGCCCGTGTCGCGTCAGACTAGAAATAAAAATGAATTTTGGAGAAGTGATTTTTGATTTACCTCCAACAGTGAAGCGTAATGTACGAAAGATTGAGAAAATTCGTGTTAGAATTATTAATCTTACTTTTTCGGTCATATTTAATAATATATATATATATATATGTATATATATATGTATATATATATATATATATATATATATATATATATATATATATATATATATATATATATATATATATATATATATATATATATATATATATATATATATATATATATATGTATGTATAATGGTCCCCAGGCATATAAAATTGTGTTGATAAAATTATCAACACAAGACAGAACACGAAACAATGGGTATAAATGGGATAAGTTTAGATTTAGGAAAGCCCTGGGTAAATACTGGTTCGGTATCAGGGTTGTTGATTTGTGGAACCAATTACCGCGTAACTTGATGGAGGTAGGGTCCCTTGATTGTTTCAAACGTGGGTTAATCATATATATGAGTGGGATTGGGTAGTTATAAATAGGATCTGCCTTGTATGGGCCAATAGCCCTCTGCAGTTACCTTTATTCTTATGTTCTTATATATATCCACAGGCTTCCTGTCCCCAGTCAAAGAGAATTATTATATATGAATTTAACAAACAGAAAACGAGCTTTGACCAGTTGTCAAGTATACCAATGAAACCTCTCCCTTCAAACATAGAAAACGTAAACCTTGTAATAGAGGACAGCCGCTGCGATCAGCTGACGCCATCAATACAACCTTCGCGTCCACTGCATCAGTTTCGATGTCGCCCTTATATCACCTGACAACAGCAACAAAATCTTCACGCAAACGGAAGATACATAATAGATAAAATGCATCAAGTCTAGCAAAAATAATATTCAAGCCTTGCTAGCCATCAAAATTAACGCTCCATTGTGAACATCTCTCAACATTAGCAGTCGTGCAGGCACCGAGAGGAGAAAACCTTCACGCAAAGTGTACATATCACAGGGGAGTTGTGGCCAGGTAGGTGTCCTTACTGTGTGTGTGACCAGGTGCCCCTTGCTCTCTGTTTGTTTTATGTGTGTGTGTGTGTACTCACCTATTTGTGCTTGCAGGGGTTGAGTTTTGGCTCTTTGGGCCCGCCTCTCGACTGTCAATCAAATGGTGTAAAGATTCTTGAGCCTACTGGGCTGTCATATTTACATTGGGAAACTGTGTATGGAGTCAGCCTCCACCACATCACTGCCTAGTGCATTCCGTCTGTTAACTAATCTGACACTGAAAAAGTTCTTTCTAACGTCCTTGTGGCTCATGTGGGTACTCCAGTTTCCACCTGTGTCCCCTTGTTCGTGTCCCGCCAGTGTTGAATAGTTTATCCTTTCTACCCAGTCAATTCCCCTGAGGATTTTGTAGGTTGTGATCATGCCTCCCCTTATTCTTCTGTCTTCCAGTGTCGTAAGGTGCATTTCCTGCAGCCTTTCCTCGTAACTCGTGCCTCTTAGTTCTGGGACTAATCTAATGGCATACCTCTGAACTTTTTCCAGCTTCGTCTTGTGCTTGAGAAGGTACGGGCTCCATGCTGGGGCCGCATACTCCAGGATTGGTCTTACATATGTGGTGTACAAGATTCTGAATGATTCCTTACACAGGTTCCTGAACGCTGTTCTGATGTTAGCCAGCCTCGCATATGCCGCAGACATTATTCTTTGTATGTGGGCTTCAGGAGACAGGTTTGGTGTGATATCAACTCCTAGATCTTTCTCTCCGTCCGTTTCATTAAGTACTTCATCTCCTATTCTGTATCCTGTGTCTGGCCTCCTTTTTCCACTGCCTAGTTTCATTACTTTGCATTTACTCTGGTTGAACTTCAACAGCCATTTGTTGGACCATTTACTCAGTCTGTCTAGGTTATCTTGTAGCCTCCTCCTATCATCCTGTTTTAATCCTCATAATTTTTGCATCATCAGCAAACATTGAGAGAAACGAGTTTATACCCTCTGGGAGATCATTTACATATATCAGAAACAGTATAGGTCCAAGAACTGACCCCTGCGGGACTCCACTTGTAACATCTCGCCAATCTGAGACCTCACCCCTCACATTGACTCGATGTCACCTGTTGCTTAGGTATTCCTTTATCCAATGGAGTACCTTCCCTTTCACTCCAGCTTTTTCACTAGCCTCTTGTGTGGTACTGTATCTAAGGCTTTCTGGCAATCCAAAAATATGCAATCTGCCCACCCTTCTCTTTCTTGCCTGATTTTTGTTGCTTGGTCGTAGAATTCAAGTAACCCTGTGAGGCAGAACTTGCCATCCCTGAACCCATGCTGATGCTGTTACAAAGTCCTTTTGCTCCAGATGTTCCACTAGCTTTCTTTGCACAATCTTCTCCATCAGCTTGCATGGTATGCAGGTTAGGGACACTGGCCTGTAGTTCAGTGCCTCCTGTCTATCCCCTTTCTTGTATATTGGGACTACATTAGTTGCTTTCCAAATTTCTGGCAGTTCCCCTGTTGCCAGTGATTTGTTATACACTATGGAGAGTGGCAGGCACAGTTCTTCTGCTTCTTCCTTTAATATCCAAGGAGAGATTCCATCTGGGCCTATAGCCTTTGTCACATCCAACTCTAGTAAACACTTCAACTTTGTCTAAATGATAACAACATAACATGAGAAATAAAAATATGCATATATATAAAATTAAAAGTTTAATTTACAGTATTGAAATCAGCTTTAAAAATATAAAATTTTGTTCATTTGGTGTTATTATGGTCACAGAATAGGATATGGTCATTATTGTAGAATATAGTTTGGCAGTATAGTTTACTATAAAAAAAAAAGTCAGTGTGGCATTTTAAATGTGTAGTAAATTTAGACACACAAATTTATAACTCCAGAAGTTTGGCATTTATGAAGAATCTAAATAAGGAAGTTGTAGAACAGACAATGTTGCACCCTAAATAGTGAAAATAGTGAGAATTGGTAAGAAACTGAAATTTTGAAGCTGTCTCAAAGTTGAAATTCCTGTTTTAGAGATACTGTACTGTAATTGAAGTTGAAGTTATCGACAATGAATATGGTAGTTCTAATTTATGAATTTTTTTTGTATGTTTTAATAAATACTGCTTGGCATTCATACTTGAATATGTGAAAGTTGTAGGTCAATATGTGTTGAAATTAAGCCAAGAAAAAATACCCCCCCCCCCCAAAAAAAAAAAGAAAAAAAATATAGGGATAATTATAATGATTTAGGGGATATATATATATATATATATATATATATATATATATATATATATATATATATATATATATATATATATATATATATATATATATATATAATATATATATGTATGTATACTTTATATAAATGATAAAGCCTCAATTTGGTCAATGATCAAGCCCCAATTTGGTCAATGATCAAAACAACCTAAAGAGACAAAGAAAATAGTTTGAAATCTGTGAAAAAATTGGTCAAAATAAATTAAGTCACAAGATCTGCCACCTGTGGCTGATTTATTTGTTGACCAATTTTGTTTTAACTTCACCTACTTAGTGACGGGTATGCATTATCCAAGAAGCAGCAGCCACAAAAAGTATCAAATAAGAAACAAAGAAGAAAAAAAAAAACCCACCCCCCAAAAAAAATAAAAAATTGGAGGACATAAGATATATTGGCATTAGACAATGATATATAATAAAATACATCAAAATAACATGCTTACTCATTACTATTTGCGTTAAATTTTACCCTCCAGGTGGCAGTCAGCAATCTTACAAGGCACCAGCTGCATATCCACTTTGTGGACCCTCCTTACTACTACGTTCTTCTTTGTGCTTTGGGCAAGTGCTTGTATATGTTTATTACTGCATTATCCAAGAGTTCCACTAACTAGGTGTTACTGATATTAGTACTGGTTGCAAATGGTCTTTTGTTTTTGTTTTTAAATCATATAAAATCCATTTCTTAACATATTGCGATGAAATTTTCACAGTGCTAATGTCAAATAATGTTAGATTTGTTTAACATTTTATCCTAAATATGTGGACGAATATTTTTTCGTTTCACGTCCCCTTAATTTAAGGACTTGCTCGAAATGTCGTGTGTGTTAGTGGCTGTACAAGAATGTAAGTACTTTTGTACAGTATACAGTACAAGTGAGGTGAGGGAGGGAGGAAGTGGCAGCCAGTGGCTGGCTGCCACTGACACTGCCACTCAGCATACCAACTTAGTAGTTCGTAACGGTGAACACGAATGTAGATACAGTACTTATATATAATGTCTGTATATAGTGAATACAAACAAAAACAGTATGATGGGAAGAGAATGTGGGCGAGTAAGGTGTTGAGGGAGTGAGTGGCAGCGAGTGGCTGGCTGGTGTGTGGCGGTCACTCCTCGTTGCTTTTTGACTCATAATACCAACTTAGTGTTTCGTTATGGTGAACAAAACATGCAGATACTTATATATAACCTGTGTATATAGTGTAATAACTGACAAAGTATAGTATAGTATATAGTATAGTATAGGTGTTCTTACAATGGCCAGGTATCCTTACACAGGGGGGGGGTTACGTGTTCTCACAATGGCAAGGTATCCTTACACAGGGGGGGATAGGTGTTCTTGCAGTGGCCAGGTATCCTTACACAGGGGGTGGTTAGGTGTTCTCACAGTGATCAGGTATCCTTACACAGGGAGGGGTTAGGTGTTTTCACAGTGATCAGGTATCTTCACACATTTGATTGAATAATAAATGATATTGCATTTCATATTGTAATACAAAATTTATATTATCTTTGTTGACAAAAAGCATAAGTCATTCTTTGAAGTTTTACCTTGATACATGTTAGAACAATCTCATTGTTGCATAGATTCAGACCGCTTGGAACATTTTGAAGAAATATAATTACAGTACTGTACTAAGAAACTAGTTTTCTCAAAAATAAAATAACTAAAATTTTTTAAAGCAGTTGAATCTAATATGCTTCTAATTTTAAATTAATAAATTTGTTTTTACAGTGCTCTTTAACACTTTTGCTGCAATAGTTGTGTGCACTCAAAATTCATACTTTGTAAATAATGATTTTATTAGTATTAACACTCAAAGTAAAAAAGAAAAAAGTAGGAAAAAATGTATGTCGTGATAAAATTATTCCGAGATCAATTGAAGCATTTGAGTTCTACTGTATTACAAAACACAAACACTCCCACTGCAGTCACTGTCTTGAACTCATCACTACTATTTATGCACTTCAGAGTTTGTCGACGGTTCCTTCTTCGCACTGAGATGTGCAGTGTTGCCACCTCCCAGGTAAGTCCCTGTCTCATTTCTCTGCAGGTAGTTAGCTTCAGGGAGCTGACGGGGTTCCCTCCTAGAAAGCCAGAGTTGAATGTAATGAAACGCCCTTTTCTGGGGGTGGCCCCGGAGGCTTCCTTACACCCTCCCTCCGGTCGGCAGTTTTTTACTTCAGACTGGAGGGTGGACAGCGGGCTTCCTCCCGCTCCCTTGGTCATGGGGGAGGGGGGTCGGTTTCCACTATCGAGCGGGTGTACTAGTTCTCATGCAGAGTTGCTCATTTTCGTTTCCATTCCTTATTTAGGGGGAGTCTCTTGGCTCATTTGGGCTGTAGGTCGCATTTTATCGGCTAGTTTGTTTTGGCTTGCCTGTCTTTCTGGGTATATGCCCTTGGTCAATGGCAGAATATGGCATAGTGTACTTTAAATGTAAAGTGTTCATAAGCGTTTGTTCTCTGCGCCTCTCTGAGGGGACCAGGTTCTGGCTTATGGTCCCTGCTAGGCCTAAGGACTCCAGTGACTGATGGCCCGAAACTAATAAAACACATATAGGTTTCGGTAGCTTCAGGGAGCCTCCTGGGCCACCCCCAGAAAATGGTGTTTCATTACAGTCAGTGCTGGCTTTTCCTTCATAGTATGTAATGAAAACTAGGAAAATTATAATTACAAGTTGTGCAGTATTTTCTACAATTTTAGATCAAAAATACAGTGGGGCCTCGATTTACGATGGTAATCCTTTCCCAGAGACGTATCGTAAGTCGAAATATCATAAGTCGAAGCGATTTTTCCCATAAGAAATGAAATTGAATTAATCCATTCCCCACCCTCCAAAATATTAACTTACAAATACATTTTATACTGAATACAATTTTTTTCTCTAACTACAATACAGTACATATGTTTATCTTACCTTTATGAAGGACTCTTGATGGCGTATGGAAGATGGTGATGAGGGGGGAAAAGGAGAGGTGGACTGTTTGGAAGGGGAGTTCCCTTCCATTATAACATCAGGCAGTAATGACTTCTCTGGGATACACTCTCTGGCATGTTTTGCCTGCATACCACTAGGACCTGCTTGTGGCTCACTGCTTGCTTGTCTTACTAAGAATCTGTCTAAACACACTTGTTTTTCGTCTACATTTTAACACTTGTCTGTAGTAAGACATCACATTGTCATTTAAATGTCAATGCAATGGCCTGCTACAGCTTTATCTGGGTGAGTTTTTTCAACAAAACTTTGCAGTTCTTCCCATACTTCACACATTTTCTTAATGAGGAAGGGACATCCTCTACTGCCTCTACTCACAACTATTTTCTTAGGTTGAACCTTACCACTGACTTTCTTGGGACCCATGGCATGATATATAATAATCAGTTTTATGTTCAAAAAGCAAAAAATCGCCACAAAAACAGAATTTGTTATAGGCGTGATCGTCACTAAGCAGGAAGCTCTAGTAAACTGAGGTAGGTCGGCCCACATGACCGGGAACCACGAGCTCTTTCGACCCAAACGTGTACCAACAAATATCGTTAGTCGATGACACTATTGTAAGTCGAGTCGCATTTTTCGATCAAATGTACATTATAACTCGAAATTATTGTAAGTCGGGGCAATCGTAAGTCGAGGTGCCACTGTAGTGTCATTATGATTATTTTTACATTTCCCATTTTTATGGAATGTGGAGGTATTTGTGCAGTAGAGATAGAATACAAAAGAAAATGGTTGTTTTAAGAGACAAATATTTATTTGTCATTCCACACACAGTATCATCGAGAACCAGTACCATCATGCTCCAGCAAATCTTCAAAGAGTATTTCAGCTGCTTCATAAAATAGCTGTAAAGTGCTCCTCTTTTTATATAATGGTCTCCCTTCTGACACTACTTCTATTCAGCTTTGTTCATTAGGTCTTCTTGTTTATAGTTAATTCTCAGTCTAGTGTCCCAAAATAAATTATAAATATCAGTTAAAATATAAAAAAGATCATACACAAGTGGAACCACATAATTTATCAGTGTGCTTGAATAACCTGAGTAATATAATTTATTTTGTAACAGGAGGAGTACCATATTGGCAGAAAGAGGTATCTAAATCCATTCCACAAAAATTACAATAAAACACTTGAATTATATAAGTGAAAACACATTGGTATTCAGTGTGTAAACAAAATTTCTATGGTAAATCTTGTCCAATAACACATTCAAGTGGTTCATCTTTAAACAAATTAAGACTAATTAGATATATAATAATATTAGCATTCTTAAGGAGAGAAAACATATAGTGCTTAATATAGTGTCAATACTTGTCAATAAAGTGCTTAAATTAAAACACATGAAAGTTAATGCCAAAAAGAAGCAGTATCAGTGTCCAGAGTGTCTAAAGGCTTTTAAACGCAATTCCCATCTGGTACAACATATGACTGTTCATACTGGAGAAAAACCATACAAGTGTTCAATATGTTTAAAAGATTTTTCACGAAAAGCAAATCTAGAAAAACATATGCGTGTTCATACTGGAGAAAAACCGTATCAGTGTATAGTGTGTTTCAGTGTCTTTAAAGATAAATCAACTCTAGTAAAACATATGAGAGTTCATACAGGAGAGAAACCATACAAATGTCAACAGTGTCTAAAAGACTTTTCACAAAACTCTAATCTAGTAAAACATATGAGAGTTCATACAGGAAAAAAGCCATATCAATGTTCAGTGTGTGTAAAGGTTTTTGCTCAAAATTCACATTTAGTTCAACATATGAGAATTCATACAGGTGAAAAGCCATATCAGTGCTCAGAGTGTCTGAAAGTTTTTGCTCAAAATTCACATCTAGTTCAACATATGAGAGTTCACTCAGGAGAGAAACCTTATCAGTGTTCAGTGTGTTTAAAAGATTTTTCAGATAAATCAGCTCTATTACTTCATATGAGAGTTCATACAGGGGAAAAACCTTATCACTGTTCAGAATGCCAAAAAAACTTCAAACAAAATTCGCATCTAGTACATCATATGCGAGTTCATACAAGAGAAAAACCATACAAGTGTTTAGAATGTCTAAAAGGTTTTACAAGTAAATCAGTTCTAGTTCAACATATGAGAGTCCATACAGGAGAGAAACCATTTCAATGTTCAGAATGTCTAAAAAGTTTTTCAAATAAATCCTTTTTAGTAAAACATATGAGAGTTCACACAGGAGAGAAACCATACCAGTGTTCAGAGTGTTTAAAATATTTTTCACAAAGATCAAATCTAGTAAAACACATGAGTGTTCATGCAAGGAAAATATATCAGTCTTCAGCTAGTGTAAATGATTTGTCAACAAATTCAATTATTTTAAAACATATAAGAATTCATACACAAGATGAAGTGTAAATGCTCATTGTTATTTTAAAGACTAATGTCATGATATATTTTTTAAATGTAAACTTAAATAATATATATACCATTTCTTCCAATATTTTATTTTATTACAATCTGTTCATGTATTGTTATAGAGTATATTGGGCCTGCCGGCTGAGAAGACAGCGCTTGGGGTTCGTAATCCTAAGGGTCCGGGTTTGATCACTGGCAGAGGCAGAAACAAATGGGCAGTTTTTTCACCCTGATGCCCCTGTTCAAATAGCAGCAAATAAGTACCTGGGAGTTTGAGAGCTGCTACAAGCTGCATCCTGGGGATGTGTGTGTGTGTGTGAAAACTAGGATGAAGGACTTTCCCAAAATGCTATGCGTGCTAGTGGCTGTACAAGAATGTAAGAACTCTTGTTTATATAAATAAATAAAAATAAATATTCTCAGTATATTTGTATGTGTATGTACATCAGGCTCCCAATTCTCTCGGGTACAGATATACATATAGTAGTGTGTATATAAGTGGCTATTTTAGTAATGTGCTTTGTGTAACTCTGTAGTTACATACATCCTGTAGTTATACTTAGGTAATTACAAGGAGAGATATTACTAACATGAACCAAGAGTGAATCTTGCAAGTGAGACATCTACACAGAAAAAGAAAAGTGGTGAAAGAGAAGAGGAACCCACATGAGGGGTAAGTCGAAACTGGCCTAAGCGAGAGTGAGAATGTTGCAGGGGCCGCACAAAGTACTGTAGTGAAGGCCGTATTGATCACGATGATCCTATAGAGATGGAACTCCGGTTTCAGCATACAGGCTCAGGATTGAGGATGAACGAAAGGCACCAGAGCTGAGGCGTTACCTAGTACGTATTGTGCAGCGCATAAAGATGACGAAAAATCAGAGGAGTAGGCGGGACAGACAAAATCAAGTTTAAGCATCACAAGAGAGGAGTGTGCATTCTATCAGCCCTCCAGGAAAATTGGGACAAGACTTTAAAGTAAGGGACTTAGAGCATTCGACTTGACAGGTAAGATTTATGAGGTGAACAAGACAAGCGAGAGTCAAAGATCAGCACAAGTCTTGAAGCCATGATCAGCGGGGCCAGGATGACATGGTATCAATCGCAAGTTAAAGCTGTCATTGGAGGAAATGGTAGTTATCACCCCAACAGCAGGGAGTGAGATCATCATAGAGGGCAAAAAAAATAATAGACTGAAGAGAGAAAGACCGTTTATGCCTGATAACTATTGAGTTGCTAGTTCCTCAACTGTATGAATTAATGCTTGCTCATACCCTCAATCATTAAACCTACTAGAATTACTGATACAACTGCCTCTACTCTTGACCACATTTGGACTAACATAACCTCTCCACTTCAGGTATAATTACTGATAGGACCATATCATTACCCCACATTTCTTCTAACCAATATTAATAAACCACCTCTAGATACAATGAAGATAAGCTTTAGGCTGCACAGTGTAACTTCTATAAGCAACTTTATTGCTGCTGCTGCTAATATCAACTGGAAGACTGAATTAGGCAACATAGTGAGCATCAACCTAGCAATGCAAACATTTCTTCAGAAAACTCTGAGCCTTTATAATACCCACTGTTCATTGCTAACAAAACAAGTTATACCTAAAAGGTTAAATTACATCATCATGGAGTCAGAAGTCACTCCCTTCAATACCTTCAGTCTTAGTGACAGGCTCCAGTATGTTTGTGAATGATTCCATTTCTCCCACCCTACCCATCAACATTGGTGTTCCACAAGGCAATATACGTGGCCCTCTCCTCTTTCTCGTCTACATTAATGACCTTCCAAGTGCCTCTCAACACCTCAAACCAATTTTATTTACTGATAACTACCTTCATTTTCTTCAGTCCTAACCCTCTTACTCTGAATGATACAGTGAATACTGAACTAAATAAAGTCCATCTTTGGCTAAATGCTAACAAACTCACCCTTAACATTGACAAAACCTTCTCTATTTTGTTTGGTAATAAATCCTCAGATCAAATTGATCTAAGAATTAACAATATCCAAATTAGTAACAAAATATATGGTAAATTCCTTGATGTCCTCATTGATAACAAGCTTAATTTCCAGGGCCACATTCTACATATTACAAAAAAAAGTTTCTAAAACTGTTGGCATTCTTTCCAAGATCAGATATTATGTACCTCGCCCTGCCCTGGTGACACTATTACTCTCTCATCTATCCTTATCTCAATTATGGTATTTGTGCTTGTGGTTCTACTGCCCAAAATCATCTAGGTCCTCTAATTACCCAACACAAATCTGCTATTAGAACAATAACAAACTTTGGCCCCAGACAGCACTTGACCCTCCCTACTTAAATCTTTGAATATGTTAGATATTCAGTCACTGCACATCCTCTCAAGTGTACTCAAGTGTATATATATAAAACTCTGAACTGTAATGCCAATCCTGACCCTTAAACACTTGCTTGAATGTTGTAACAGAACCACCCATGGGCACCACACTAGAAACAAATACCTCTTTGAGATTTCAAGAGACGGATCAAACTAGAAAGGCTCTGCAAATCAAGGGACCCAGTATGTGGAATGACCTTCCCAGTCATGTCAAAGGCTGTAACCCTCTCAACCAGTTAGAGAGAAAAACTAAACACAACCTAATAAACTCCATGTAATCTACCTTATTTCCTAAATGTCAACCGATGTCTTTCCTATTTTCAAACAATATTGGTTATTGACCAACTTGTTTAACTGCTGATATCTATCAGGTAATTACCTAAGTGTAGTTACAGGATGAGAGCTACGCTCATGGTGTCCCGTCTTCCCAGCACTCTTTGTCATATAACGCTTTGAAACTACTGACGGTCTTGGCCTCCACCACCTTCTCACTTAACTTGTTCCAACCGTCTACCACTCTATTTGCGAAGGTGAATTTTCTTATATTTCTTCGGCATCTGTGTTTAGCTAGTTTAAATCTATGACCTCTTGTTCTTGAAGTTCCTGGTCTCAGGAAGTCTTCCCTGTCGATTTTATCAATTCCTGTTACTATTTTGTACGTAGTGATCATATCACCTCTTTTTCTTCTGTCTTCTAGTTTTGGCATATTTAATGCTTCTAACCTCTCCTCGTAGCTCTTGCCCTTCAGTTCTGGGAGCCACTTAGTAGCATGTCTTTGCACCTTTTCCAGTTTGTTGATGTGCTTCTTGAGATATGGGCACCACACAACAGCTGCATATTCTAGCTTTGGCCTAACAAAAGTCATGAACAATTTCTTTAGTATATCGCCATCCATGTATTTAAATGCAATTCTGAAGTTAGAAAGCATAGCATAGGCTCCTTGCACAATATTCTTTATGTGGTCCTCAGGTGATAGTTTTCTATCTAGAACCACTCCTAGATCTCTTTCTTTATCAGAATTCTTTAAAGATTTCTCACATAATATATAGGTTGTGTGGGGTCTATGTTCTCCTATTCCACATTCCATAACATGACATATATTTACATTAAATTCCATTTGCCAAGTGGTGCTCCATATACTTATTTTGTCCAGGTCTTCTTGAAGGGCATGACAGTCATCTAAATTTCTTATCCTTCCTATTATCTTAGCATCATCAGCAAACATGTTCATATAATTCTGTATACCAACTGGTAGATCATTTATGTAGACAATAAACATCACTGGTGCAAGAACTGAACCCTGTGGTACTCCACTTGTGACATTTCTCCATTCCGATACATTGCCTCTGATTACTGCCCTCATTTTTCTATCAGTCAGAAAATTTATCATCCATGTTAGAAGCTTACCTGTCACCCCTCCAATATTTTCCAGTTTCCAGAACAACCTCTTATGTGGAACTCTGTCGAAAGCCTTTTTTAGGTCCAGATAGATGCAGTCAACACAACCATCTCTTTCCTGTAATATCTCTGTGGCTCGATCATAGAAACTGAGTAAATTCGATACACAGGATCTTCCAGATCGAAAACCATACTGTCTGTCTGATATTATATCATTTCTCTCCAGGTGTTCTACCCATTTAGTTTTGATTAGCTTTTCCAATACTTTCACTATTACACTTGTCAATGATACAGGTCTATAATTGAGGGGTCTTCCCTGCTGCCACTTTTGTAGATTGGAACTATGTTAGCCTGTTTCCACACGTCTGCTACGATTCCTGTACAGAGGGATGCCTGAAAGATCAGGTGAAGTGGAATGCTGAGCTCAGATGCACATTCTCTCAGAACCCATGGTGCAACGCCATCTGGGCCAGCTGCTTTGTTCTTCCCGAGCTCCTTTAGCATATTTTCCACTTCATCTCTAGACACCTCTATCCGCTCAATGTTGTTCTCTGGAATTCTTATTGTGTCTGGTTCTCTGAAGATTTCATTTTGTACAAACACACTTTGGAACTTTTCATTTAATGTTTCACACATTTCCTTTTCATTTTCCGTGAATCTGTTTCCCATTTTCAACCTCTGGATATTATCCTTTACCTGCAATTTGTTGTTTATGAATTTGTAGAATAGGCCCGGTTCTGTTTTACATTTATCTGCTATCCCTTTTTCAAAATTTCTTTCTGCCTCTCTCCTTACTGCTGTATAGTTGTTTCTCGCATCTTTGTATCGCTGGTATGTTTGGGGGTTTGGCCTCTTCCTATACTGATTCCATTTTTGTGTCTTTTGGTCTCTTGCCCTCTCACAATTTCTGTCGAACCAATCCTGTTTTCTGGCCCTGCATCTCTGTTTTGGTATGAATGTTTGTGTGCCTTCCTCGTATAGTTTTAAAAATTTGGCATGCATTTCATTTACTTCCCTGCCTAGCAACAATTCTGTCCAATTACACTCATTAAAAAAATTTCGAAGTTCCCCATAGTTGCCTCTCCTTAAATCGAGTTTATCAACTGTTTCAATGTCCCCATTTTCTTCTAGATGATATCTTAAAGCATATTTAATGTCTAACAGGACGTGATCACTCTTTCCCAAGGGAGGAAGGTACTGGATGTCAAAAATCTCTTCTTCTTTCCTGGTGAATACTAGATCCAGTACTGACGGTATATCTCCTTCCCTCATTCTTGTGGCTTGCTTTATGTGTTGATACAAGAATGTCTCCAGAATGAGGTTCACAAATCTGCATGTCCAAAAGTCCTCCGTTCTTGCTTCATAGGCCTCCCAGTCTATTGCTCTAAAGTTGAAGTCCCCCAGTATCAACAGTCGTGATTTATCTTTATCTGCTTGTACAATAATATCTCTCATGACCATTATGAGGCCCTCTCGTTTGTCATCCAGTTCTTCCTTTGTCCATGTGTTGCTTGCTGGTGGGCTGTAGGTATTTACAATTATCAGCTTATCATCCTGATTCCAGACCTGCAATGCCATTATGTCAATATCTCGAGGGTTTTCAAATATTAACTCTTTTACCTTCAGGTGTTTTTTCACCAGTACAGCCACTCCTCCTCCCTTCCTAGTTTTCCTGTCACGTCTCCAAACTGAGTAGCCTCTTGGGAATATGACTTCATTTATTATATTTCCTTCAAGTTTCGTCTCTGATAATGCAACAATATCTGGGACCCTAAGCTGGATTATATCTTGCAACTCCAAAGTTTTTGACCTCACTCCATCTATGTTGGTATATACAATTTTCAGGAACATGTTCCCTTTTCCTTTGCTCTTTACTCCCCCTTCCACTACTGATCTTGTTGCTTTGTTTTTATGTACCATTTCACAAGCTTTCCAGTCCCTGTCACTTTGTAAAAAAAAAGAATTTCTGTCTTCTTCATTTCTATCCCCATTTAGACGTTTTGCCTCAATTAGGTTCATTTTCAGCTTTTCTCTGTCTTCCTTGGAGAGGTCTTGTCTTATTGACCAAAATTTGCCAACCTCATCACTCTGCAGTTTCCTGGCATTTCTTAGCACTTCCATCATGTTTTTCACTCCATTAAACGTCACCCTTAAGGGGCGGTTCTTTTCTTTCTCATATTTTCCTATTCTTCTAAAATCACTGACATTTTCCTTTGAGCCTTCTAAACCTACTATTTTCTCTATGATTTTCATCTCTTCTGCCGCTCGGTCCACCCTAGATGGAATTTCCTTCTCTAAACATCCAAAAATGATTATGGACTTAGTTCTATCTGCAGTGTTTTGTACCAGTTTACTGTTGGTAACCTATCTGCAGTGTTTTGTACCAGTTTACTGTTGGTAACCAGTTCTTTCCTAATTGCTTGCCTAATTTCTGCTTCTTGTTGGTCATTTCTGGTTTTGACTTCCGAACACACTTCTTTGATAGTCTCTTTCTCTTTTACAACTTCAGCATATGTCGCTTTTATTTCTTCTTTATACTTTTCTAGTTCTTTATTCACCTCCTCTATGTGAGTTGTCAGTGAAGTTTCCAGTTGGAGATCCTTACCTAACTCTATGTTAGCCCTTAGGCTTGCTTGGAGTTGTTCACCATATGAGTCTATTTTCTTGTTTATTTCTTCAAAGTCACCACACTTCACTTTCCATGCCTCATTTTCTTTCACTAGTTCCTTGATTTGCTCCTCCTGATTTGTTACCTTGTCTGTTAATGCAGTAATAATCTTACCTTGTTGAAGCATACTCCCTTTTAGAGTGCAAAGCTCACTCCAAAGAGCTCCATTGTCCTCTTCTAATTTAAGCACTTTTTCTTCATACTTCTTTTGCATATCCTCAATTATCTCTAACCTGCCAAGAACACCTCCTTTCCTTATATCTTGTGTTGAGAATCCTTTGAAACCATCATCTGTTGGTGTGTGTACATTCTCAGTGGGGGTGATGGCGGCGGCCATCTTTGATTTTGTTCTAGACCAAAACAAACTTTTCCACTCTGCTATTTTCACTCACTTTTACTTGTTTATTGTATTTTATTTGCTTTTACTCTTCCCTGAACCTTTATGTAACCTGGGACACCACTGTAGCCCTCAACCTGTGCCCAATACTTAGGTAATTCGATATTTCCAGGAGCTTGCTGCAGTGTGACTCCTGCCTCCTCCAGCTCATAGGTGTAAACTTATAATTGCAATCTTCTGTTTATTTAGTTAAAATTCCTTCTGCTGTTCCATCCATCATTTAATTATCATCATTCTCATTTCTTTTCTTTTCTTCCTTTTTTCAATTCAATTTATGCTTTTGATCTCGATTAGTATTAATTTTAGTCTAATTTTTTTCCCATAACTTGGCCGAAACACTGCGTATTAGTGGCTTCAGGCATTGTATGTACTAGCTCTATCTATAAATCCATCATTATGTTTGTATCTCATTTTCAATTTATGTACCTTTACCTGAATAAACATCTGATCTTATTTAGGGCAAATAGGAAAAAAGAGTTGTGTTCAAAACACTGCCTTGAGGAACACTTTCATATTGTCCAAAGAAGTCGGAAAAACTGGTACCAAATCTCACTTTAAACGAACGACTAGAAAGGAAGCATGGGAGATTGCCACACAGGCCAAAGAGCATAGTTGGAACTAAATATTGTATCGCTAGGTGGGGTCAAGTTTTTTCCAGGTCAAAAGAACTGCAACAATGGAGTTCTTCACAGCAAAGGCAATACAAAGGTATACCTATAAGTCCACTAAAACATCAGTTGTGCTGCAACCATTGTGAAACCCAAATTGAGAGGGAGAGAGGTGTTGTTAATGTTCTAAGAACCACTTCAGAAATATTACAACCATACATATGAAAAGTTTGCAAATACAACTTGCCGGGGCAGTGGGGTGAAAATCCTTAGAGGAAGTCCCTTGAGCACTGGGTTTCTGAATAGGAAGAACAACAAAGTCACCTCACCTCACAGCGAGTAATTAAGACAGACCGGTTTAACATCTTGGTCGGTCCTGTCACTGAAGTGGCAGTTCCAGGTCACCACCTGTCGACAGCCTTGTGCTCTAGGGGAATTTCAAGTGTAGCTTCAAGTTAACAATTTTATTTAAATCATTTGGCATTTTTTGTACTTTTCTTGAACATGCAGTTGTCTATAACATTGTAGTTGTCATGAAAACATTGTACCAGAAAAGCTGAATTTTAGTACTTATCAGAAATCAATGAAACAAATACAATAGTATTATTTGCCTACACAAATACCATCATTCATGTAAAGTAGCTAATTTTAATTTTGCCAGGTTTAGAAAAATACATTTTCCTTTAAAAATATAATTGAAAACTACCATTAAATTTCTAAAAAAAAAAAAAAAAAAAAATGGAAATTTTAAATTTCCAATGGAACAAATAAAAGTACCTTATATAATAATAAAAAATATATATATCCTTTTCAGACTTTGCATAATAATTTATATCATAACTTAAAAGGCATGCAAAATTTGCAAACTGATGAAAATGGCTTGAAAATTCGCCTAGGAAAAAGAAAGTATGGACAAAACAATTTTAGTCCTGTATAAGATTAAATTAAGTAATTATCAAAAGAAGGCACCAAGCCAGGGAGGTTGTATAAGATAAAAGAGTGCTGCATTGTATATGCTACATATTACAAGGTTACTTGAACAACTATTCTACTCTGAGCTTTTAATTCAGCCATATCCCACAGTTATTTGTAGAAAGTTTCCAGATGCTTTCATCATCTGATAGGGCCACTGTGGAATATGAAAGACACTGTCCATTTGGTATTATAACATCTTCATTACAGACTACCGCTTTGAAAGCTCAGCAAACAGTAGACTTTGGCACTGCAATAGTAAAGTAATGAGAAATTACTTGAGTAAAGTATAAAGAAAGAATTTACTTAAAGAGTAAAGTAAATAAGAAATTATAAAGAGTAAAGATTTTTTTTTTTTTTTTTACTTCGGTTGCATAAAGTACAGTGCTATTTCATACTTCAGTCCTTTAGTAGTTTCTTCCAAAATATTGGGTGGAGGAAAATATTGTGGCCAATTCAGCAGCAGTTTAAATCTGTAGGGTATGGAATCTTCCTCAAAAGTTGAAGGAAAACTTGGCTGGATTACAAGTACTGTATTCCGAGAGGTAACAGGGCTTGTCCGCTGTAACCGAGCCCCGTCTGTAGCTAAAGTAATTATCAAAAGAAAATTTTGTGGCTGAAGCTTAGCATAGGATGGCACAATATACATACTGTATTCATGTGCCCAGAGGGAAAATCTGCAATGGATAAACTTCCTAGATATTCTGAAAAATTAAAATTCATTTTTTATTTTAGTTATATCATACTCTGTTGCAGAATCATCTTCTTGTAGAAAGGTTTCCGTCTTGCAGATGCTTTCATCAAATATAAGCTCCTTGGAATCTGGAAGACACTGTACATTTGATATTATAACATCTTCACCAACTTCCTTAAGTTCTGTTTTGACACTTTTTGACTGGTTGGCACTGCAAGAGTAAAGTGTGTCTTCGTTCAAGAGTTTTTTACTTGATTTAGGAGAAAGTACAGTAGTAGACACTTTATTCTTATCTCTTACTTCTTCCCATTTCTTTTTCCGCTTCAGTCCTTTAGCTCTTTCTTCCAAAATATTGGGTGGTGGAGGAATATATCGTGGCTCATTCAGTGGCAGTTTAACTCTGTAGTGTATGTTATCTTCCTCAAAAGTTGAAGGCCAATCAGCTGGATTACAAGAGTTCTGAGAGGTATCCTCAGGTCTTGTCCACTGTAACTGAGCCCCATCTGATTCTGAGGCTGAAGCTTTGAATTTGGATGGTATAATATACTTGTCAGTCTGCCAAGAGGAGGGAAATTCAGCAATGGACAAACACTCTAGGAATTCAATAAAACTGTTGAAATTTGGAACCTTTGAGCGATCCAATTTTTTTGTATAGTTATGTCTGAATACATGTTTATTGTGGTATGATAAAAGTTTCTCAACTGAATATTTGTCAGAAAAATTATGCCTATAATCAACATTCTGGCTGCTAGTGCTAGGCTGAACATTCTGATGGGTTTTCAAGTCATCATTGCTCTGGGAATTACGAACAAGGTCAGAAGAGTTGCTTTCTGTGTGTGTAGATGACACTACACTCCTTGCTCCTTGATTGTAACTATGAAGATTCCTTGGGGTCTCGGCAACAGACTGAGAAACAGTAGATAATGGCAGTGGCCCTGAACCCTGATGCCTAAATGGTTGATGTTGCCTTTTTTCTAATGTATACAAGGTTCCGCCTACACCCTCGCAACTTGTAGGATGCTGACAAATCCCCTGCGGGGTCTGTAACCTGTCTTGCAACTGTCGTCGAGATGAGCAAGGGGGCAGCCTGGGATTCATTTGGTCTTCTGCATGCATGTTCCTACCGCCCATAATCTGCAGTGAGAAAATATAACTAAGAAATTGTTACCCTGTAAACCAATTTTAATTCAATACTTGGTTCATGGTTCATCAATACTACTTCAAACCTGCTGTTATAAAGGAGGTACACTCCTTCAGTCCCCTGTTAAGGCACAAAGTTCATAGGGTTGAAATGTCCTTACCCAGACTCTCTTAATTTGTAATAGTTAGCTGCTGCTTAAAGGTACTATACTATATATTGTTTTAACATTTTATTAGCCATTACTTTTAGCTATCATCATTTATGTTCATATTTAACTCATAATATTTTGTCACATTTATCAGTCTTGTTGAATTACTTAGTCCAGCTACCTCAATCTCAGTTAATAGTCACACTGCCATTAATAAAAAAATTGTAATACTAATGTCAATTTTTTTGTAATGTCTCTAGCTATTATTACCATCAATATAAAAAATACATAATAGTGATTATATATTTCTACTGCCACACAATGAATGAGTGGGGAGCATGGAAGCAAACAAAATAATATAAACTCATAATGAAATCACAAAAACTTTGTATCTAAGAGTGTTGGGCCCATGTTGTAGGATTCGGCCAACAACCCTAAGGAGTCCAGGTATGCGGGTTAAGTCCCCATCATGTGACTTCAATATTTTCTTATGTAAGCAAGCAATTATCAAAGGAAGGTATTTTGATAATTCACCATAGCATTCAGCCATGGTTTCCTTTGTTGTGTCTGTTTTGTGAGTGTGTTTTTTACCTGAATTTACCCAAGGGTCATTATCTCTTAAGTGTCCTCGACAGGGACAGGAAGTCAGGAGCTTGTCAAAAGTTCCATCCCCGATCCCCAGTGTTCTTGAAGATATTTTCCAACTGGATTTTGAACTTTAGTAATGTACTGGCATTTACGGCATTGGCAGGTAGGCAGGTTTATAACTATAGGTGAAAAAATGTCTTCCATTTTCTGTCATACGATACATTGTGAGAGGCGAGTGAGTGAGTGGATTAATGATGATAAAGAGGAAACAATAGTTTTGTAAGCCTTATCATCTATATCGCAATGTGTTAGTGTTGTTCAATAATTGTTAACATTACATGTAGCTACTTAGGTTAATTACTTGTGGCCATGTTTCCTTTTTTTACTGTCTTTGGCAAGATAATCGATATCATTCCCTCTGTTTCTGTGCACCCTATATTCATCCTGTGAGTGGTAGTTTATTGTACACACTATACCCTTGGTCTGTGTCTGTGTCTGCCCGCGTCTCTACCCGCATCACTTACAGACTCGTCTTGCAGTTGTCCTCTCGTCTGTTGCAGCAACACTGACTCCCCAAGATATGAGTGTGCCGCCAGTCTGGGATCTCTTCCAGACATCAAGGCTGCATTAGAGTCCACCGGACTTGGTTTTGATGAAAACCTTCTGTTGTCCATTATGCCCTATATAAAAAAAAAATTAGTAGACAAAAATATTTACTAGTAGCATTCAGAGTTCATAAAAATAGATTGTAACTATATTGTATTATACAGCTACAATGTACAGTACATTCAATATGCAGTGGTTTCTAATTGGGGGAAAATATATTATACTTTAACATTTCCCCCCAAAAAGGCACAAGAACATAAAAAAAAACTGCATTAGACCTATTGGCTCATGCAAAGCAACATTTACTTTTTAATACAAAATATATACCATTTTATTAATAAACAATAGAGGAACTCATGAGGGCAATAGGACGAAGTCCTTAGGGGATGTCCCGAGAGACCCTGGTTTCCGAATAGGGAGTACAACGGTATTGAGCCAGTCCTCAGGGACTGACGACGACTCCCAGACCCGGTTATACAGATTCAGTAAATACAGAGATGTGCATGGAGGGAGATGGCGAAGCATCTCATATTGAATGTCATCTGAGGCCACTGTTGTAGAACCACAGAGGGCCAGGGCAGACTGAAGTTCAGTCTCCGTGGTGTAGTAGTAAGACACTCGCCTAGCGTTCCGCGAGCGCTATGTCATGGGTTCGTATCCTGGGAGGATTTACTGGGCGCAATTCCTTAACTGTAGCCTCTGTTTAACGCAACAGTAAAATGTGTACTTGGATGAAAAAATGATTCTTTACGGCAGGGGATCGTATTCCAGGGACCTGCCCGAAACGCTACGCGTACTAGTGGCTGTACAAGAATGTAACAACTCTTGTATATATCTGAAAAAAAAAAAGAAAAAAAGAAAAGAAAGAGATAAGGGATCGGTATAGGGAAGTCGGAGATGAGTGGAGAAATCTAAGGGATGAGATTCAAGAATGGGCTTACAAAGGAAGGATTGAGGGAGATGAGAAACAAGAGCTAACAGTCGAAAAGTGGGAACCCAGTTCGGTCGAGACCATCACTGGGTCCGCCACAAGAGTACCACGGAGGTGAAGGACTGGCGAGACATTTGGAACAAACTTACCCCGCTATCTTGCGGATTTTCTACCAGATCTGTGGCAGAGGAGTATCAGATGTAATGGTGGAAACATTAGATTTCCAACTCTCATGTTTAGCTGTACGGATGGTCCTACAGTCCACCGCACTTGCCTTCCGAAACAAAATAAAAGAATCAGCCGTCTGCCGGAGTCTGTTTCTTCCAGGCTGCACACTTACAGCGGACAGCCCAAGCACAGTCCGCATTCCACCAGGGAACGCACTTCCGCATGCTCCGGGAGGTAGAGCGAGGAATAGAGCGGAGGGCAGCGTTGAAGACGGTGTCATGAAAAAGGAGGAGGGCGCGAGGGAGAGGTCGGAGAGAGTAGCACGGAGGTGAATAGGTTCCAGTCAGCCTTGGCAAACTGCAACCTAGGGTAGGAGAGGGGAGGGTGAAAAGTGGAAAAAGGTAACAAGGATGGGGAAATGGTCACTTATGGTGGTCATCAAGATCCCGCCACATGAAATCGAAGTAAAGACATAACGAGCAGAGAGAAAAATCAAGACAGGAAAGGGTGTGAGTTCAAGAGTCCACATAAGTGGGTTCACCAGAATTCAGAAGAGACAGGGAAGAAGAGAGGACGAACAATTCGAGAAGGCAGCCTTGGGTGTTTGTCAGAACATCACCCCAGAGGGTTTGTTAACAGTTGAAATCACCTAACAGGAACCTAGGTTCTGGCAAGGAGTCCAGTAGGTGCTCAAGATCAGGAAGAGAAAGCGGGACATTTGGGGGGAGATAAATGGAACAGACCATATACCATTTACTCACAAAGACACAAGCTGCAGAACAATGGATAGGCGATTGAAAAAGTAGGGGGACGAAGGAATATCAGTACGAATCAAAAGAGCAGTAGAGTTATGGGCCCCAGCTTTTGCTGGGGGGAGGGGGGGAAGAGAAAGGAATAACCACGAAAGTGACCAGGACGAGCACCAAGCATCGGCTCGTGGAGACGCACACAAGTGGTAAAAATTGTGTAAACAGAAATTGGAGTTCATGGAAGTTGGCATAAAATCCACGAATATTCCATTGAAGAATAAACATTGTCAAAAAGAGAAGAGAGAGCAACAGAGAACAATGAAGAAACGAAGGTAAACAAGAACACAGCAAATTAAATAAGCTCAGGATCAGAACCAGGGTCAGCAAAATCAGAGGATAGGGGGCATGGATAAACTTAGTAAGGATGGCGTGAAGGGAGCAGGACAGACCAAAGGCGAACAGATGGGGTCTGGAGGAGGGGGAGGGCAGAAACCGGGGAGCGCACCTCAGCTAGGGCAGCAACCGAGAGGAATCGGCTGATAAAGAAATCTCCATAGCTGGGACAGGGGGCTCGACCACCAAAATGGGAGGGGCCGTAGCAATAAATTCAGAGGTGGGGGTCGAGGAAAAAAGCGATGCCTTCTTACCTGCTGGGGAGGAGGAATGAGAGGAGCCAGGCTTACGTTTCTGACTCAAAGAGATAGGTATTCCAGCAACAACGTACTGGGCAACAGACTCAATGGTCTCAACAGAAGAAGAAAGGGAGCGAGCAACCTGTAGATTGCTGGGAGGATGATGGACAACAGCCTGGACAGACAGGTGGCGTGGAGGGCCAAGAGACTGGGGGGAGGGTTGGGAAGAAGGATCGGGGGAGAAGGGAAAGAAGACACAGGAGACATGGCAGCCTGTGTAGGAAGGGTGAAAACTCCAGATGGAGAACCAGGAGGGAGGATCCTTTGGAACAGAACGTAAAGGAACAAGGGAGGCGGTGCTAGGCGTGTCCAGGACTAAGATCTGGAAACGGTTGTGAGATTGAGTAAGGTGGGAAAGACGTGGAGAGCTAGAACGCAGCACACAAGCATAAGATAAGCCAGTGAAAAGGTTGAGACGGCGGACTTGGTGTCTCGCTTCACGAAAAGACAAACGATCCTGGTGTTTCAAATTAAGGACGGCTTCCTCAAGTGTGTAGTGTATACACGTGCGGGAGAAGGTAGGGGTGGGCCTCACTGCAATTGAGGCAGCGAGCCTGGGGAGAAGTGCACTCGAACTTAGGAGTGATTATCGTCCCCACACATGGGGCATAGATATACAGTACTTGTGCATTTGAGGGAACCATGCCCGAACTTCCAGCACTTATTGCAAAGCCTAGGAGAGGGATTGTACTCCTGAACGGAGCACCTGGCACCAGCAAGAATTGTAGAGGGCGGAAGGGTCCTACTATCAGAGGTGATTTTCACAACTCAGAGCCTGACGGCGACGACTACGAGGGGGTCGAGTGAACGTGTCCACCTGGAGGACAGGATGGCCTTGGGTTTCGAGGATATGCTTAATATCCTCATGGCAGTTTTTTTAGGTCCCTAACACCAGTTGCAACATGGTGCGGGAAGAAAACAGTGCCAACACTGGCATTTAATCGAGCGTTTTTGGAGACCCGAACAAGGGTCTCCCCAATGCAGGACAATGTGGCTAAGCGGGTAGCTGCATCTTTAGGAGCAGCAGCGACGACACGTGTACCAAGACGGGTGAGGTTAAAAGTAACAGACGTATCTACTGAATCAACTAAGTGTTTATGGAGGAAGAAACCGTCATTTGTAGAATCTAGATATTGAGATCAAAGTATTTAGCCCACCACTTGCCCCCCCCCACCCCTGACTCCAACCCTCACCAATGACACCACTTCTGTAGGAAGACAGAAGAGTTAGGGGGGACATGATCACCACATTCAAGATTCTCAAGGGAATCGACAGGGTAGATAAAGACAGGCTATTTAACACAAGGGGCACACGCACTAGCGGACACAGGTGGAAACTGAGTGACCAAATGAGCCACAGAGATATTAGAAAGAGCTTTTTTTAATGTCAGAGTGGTTGACAAATGGAATGCATTAGGCAGTGATGTGGTGGAGGCTGACTCCATACACAGTTTCAAGTGTAGATATGATAGAGCCCAATAGGCTCAGGAACCTGTACACCTGTTGATTGACGGTTGAGAGGCGGGCCGAAAGAGCAGAGTTCAACCCCCGCAAGCACAACTAGGTGCACACATCATCCGTATTTCATTTCATTTCATCATTTCATTTCACATCAGGCTAACATAGTTCCAATCTACAAAAGTGGCAGCAGGGAAGACCCCCTCAATTATAGACCTGTATCATTGACAAGTGTAATAGTGAAAGTACTGGAAAAACTAATCAAAACTAAATGGGTAGAACACCTGGAGAGAAATGATATAATATCAGACAGACAGTATAGTTTTCGATCTGGAAGATCCTGTGTATCGAATTTACTCAGTTTCTATGATCGAGCCACAGAGATATTACAGGAAAGAGATGGTTGGGTTGACTGCATCTATCTGGACCTAAAAAAGGCTTTCGACAGAGTTCCACATAAGAGGTTGTTCTGGAAACTGGAAAATATTGGAGGGGTGACAGATAAGCTATCATGGATGAAAATTTTTCTGACTGATAGAAAAATGAGGGCAGTAATCGGAGGCAATGTATCGGAATAGAGAAATGTCACAAGTGGAGTACCACAGGGTTCAGTTCTTGCACCAGTGATGTTTATTGTCTACATAAATGATCTACCAGTTGGTATACAGAATTATATGATCATGTTTGCTGATGATGCTAAGATAATACGAAGGATAAGAAATTTAGATGATTGTCATGCCCTTCAAGAAGACCTGGACAAAATAAGTATATGGAGCACCAATTGGCAAATGGAATTTAATGTTAATAAATGTCATGTTATGGAATGTGGAATAGGAGAACATAGACCGCACACAACCTATATATTATGTGAGAAATCTTTAAAGAATTCTGATAAAGAAAGAGATCTAGGGGTGGTTCTAGATAGAAAACTATCACCTGAGGACCACATAAAGAATATTGTGCAAGGAGCCTATGCTATGCTTTCTAACTTCAGAATTGCATTTAAATACATGGATGGCGATATACTAAAGAAATTGTTCATGACTTTTGTTAGGCCAAAGCTAGAATATGCAGCTGTTGTGTGGTGCCCATATCTTAAGAAGCACATCAACAAACTGGAAAAGGTGCAAAGCCATGCTACTAAGTGGCTCCCAGAACTGAAGGGCAAGAGCTACGAGGAGAGGTTAGAAGCATTAAACATGCCAAAACTAGAAGACAGAAGAAAAAGAGGTGATATGATCACTACGTACAAAATAGTAACAGGAATTGATAAAATCGACAGGGAAGATTTCCCGAGACCTGGCACTTCAAGAACAAGAGGTCATAGATTTAAACTAGCTAAACACAGATGCCGAAGAAATATAAGAAAATTCACCTTCGCAAATAGAGTGGTAGACGGTTGGAACAAGTTAGGGGAGAAGGTGGTGGAGGCCAAGACCGTCAGTAGTTTCAAAGCGTTATATGACAAAGAGTGCTGGGAAGACGGGACACCACGAGCGTAGCTCTCATCCTGTAACTACACTTAGGTAATTACACTTGGGTAATTACATCAACAAACTGGAAAAGGTGCAAAGACATGCCACTAAGTGGCTCCCAAAACTGAAGGAGAGGAGCTATATGGAGAGGTTAGAGGAAATAAATATGCCAAAACTAGCAGATAAAAGAAATAAAGAGGCGATATGATCACTACATACAAAATATTAACAGGAATCTATAAAATTGATAGGGAAGAATTCCAGAGCTGGAACTTCAAGAACAAAGGGTCATAGATTTAAACTAACTAAACAAAGCTGCTGAAGAAATAAGAAAATTCACTTTCACAGAGTGGTAGACGGCTGGAACAAGTTAGGTGAGAAGGCGGTGGAGGCCAAAACCGTCTGTAATTTCAAAGCATTCTATGACAAAGTGCTGGGAAGACGGGACACTACGAGCAGCATAGCTCTCCTCCTGTAACTACACTTAGGTAATTACACTCAGGTCCCCTCATTAGGATTTTGTAAGATCAGGGTTAGATCCATGCAAATTAGTAGAGATGGATGATTAGGAGTGAATTGCATGTTAATATGATCAATAAAGAAATGGTAATACAACCTGAAATACTGCCCAGGAATGGTGTCAACATGCTGTTGGGTTGAGAACGAGAAACGGGTGAATGCCCCGTTAAAATTTTGGATATCGAACACCTAAGGTTGAACCGGATGAGAAGGCAAGTTGAGGTACCTGTGGTGGTGGGGAGGCCGGCTGGTCAGGTGAAGCAGACAAGAGTGTAGCGGGCAAGCCGGCAGGTTCCCGCTCAGGTGTGACGGGCAGGCCGGCAGGTTCCCGCTCAGGTGTGGCGGGCAGGCCGGCAGGTGTGGCAGGGAAGATGCTCCCGTGTGGTGTGGGAAAGTCCTCAGCAGGTGTGTCGCTCTCTTGAGAGTCTTCTTCGTCGCTCGAAATAACTACGCGTTTTCCTCTCCCAACTCTTTGTATTTTGAAATCTTCATCCTCGTCACTACCAGCAATATCAATACATTCTGGTCGAGTATCTAGAAAAAATAATGTCATATTTTACCCCTAAAAAATCAATAATTATGGGTGTAAGCAAAATATATCGAGGAAGAATACACATCTTGATATAGATAAAATATGTACTGCAAATACAGTAGTAAAGAGACACCGCTGATGACAATAAATCCTAAATGGTAAATTGAGTATTATAGAATAAAAAAAAAATTTGCATGAGGTTAGGGCATGATGAACTTCAAATCTTTCGTGTAGAATTTTAAATAAATTAATAAATAATAAATAATAAATAATGAATAATAATGCACAATGAAATCACATTAATAATAATAAATGACGTACAATGGAACCTCTGTATACGAATTTTATACGTTCCAGAAAATGCGTGCCCTCTCGGTGATCGTGCCCCTCACAGCTACTTGACCACTACGACAAAAATCACCGAGGCATTAGAAGAAAAAACAGAATGCAGATTTGGTGGTATACACGGACTTTGCAAAGGCATTTGATAAATGCGATAGCACACAAAACGAGGTAAATGGGAATAACAGGTAAAGTAGGAACAGTGGATATTCAATTTTCTGTCGAATAGAACACAGTAACAATCTCAACCAAATGAAATCTAGTCCAAGCACAGTTAAAAGCTCTGAAGCTCAGGGTACAGTCCTTGCACCACTGCTTTTCATTTATTTTCATATCAGATATAGGCAAACATCCAAGTCACAGTTTTGTATCACCTTTTGCAGAGACAAAAATCAGCATAAAAATTACCTCTCCTGAAGACATTGAAAAATTACAAGCTACTTCTGCTGTCCTGTCTTGGGTACTGCTCGATACTCACTTCCCTCCTTCAAAGCAGGAGAGACTGCCGAGATAGAGGGAATACAAAGAACATATACGGCATACATAAACAATAAAGCACCAATATTATTGGGATCGTCTCAAAACTCTCAACATACACTCACTAGAAAGGAGATATCAAATAATATACACATGGAAAACATTAGATGGCTAAGTCCCAAATCTACACAGTAAAAATAACATACTTGAGTGAACGATATGAAAGAATATGCAGAATAGAATCAGTGAAGAGCAGGGTGCCATAGGCACAATCAGAGAACACTGTGCAGAGGTCCGCGGTTGTTCAACACTCTCCCAGCGAGTACAAGAAATATTGCCGGAACAACTGTGGACATCGAGAGAAAGCTAGATAGTTTTCTTCAAGAAGTGCCAGACCAACCGGGATGTGGTGGATATATGATGCTGCGTACTGCTCCAAGCAACAGCCTGTTGGACCAAGCTCTCAAGTCAAATCTGGCCCCGTGCCAGGGTTGGGGAGTAAAACTCCCAATATTCGTACACCAAATGAAATTTTCCAACAAGAAATAATGCAACTTTTAATTAATTAATTCATTGCACACACCCAAAAATATCAACTTAATATATTTTATGCAGAATACTACAATTTTTTTCATACACAAAACAATAAGAAATAAATATAAACTTTAAATAAAATAAATGAACAATTAACTGCACTATATACTCTTACTGAGGACTCTTTGTTGGTATATGGAAGAGGGGATGAGGACAGGGGTGGGGTAGGGGATGGAGGGGTGAGAGGAGAGGTGGGAGTGTTTGGAAGCGACATCCTCCTCCCATTATATCATCAAACCATCCCCCGCTTGCCATAAAGGCTTTCATATCTGCATCACTCGTTCCAGTTTTTCCCTTCACAAATTTCATTTCCTCTTATGTAGCAGCCAATCAGAAACTAGTAACAGCCTGTCAGGCATATAAAGTTAGTTGCACAACTGGTCGCAGACAGTCTAGTCACATGTCACTATCAAGACCAGTTACAGGCTGTCATAACCAAAGGCAGTCAAGCAATCAACAGCTGTGGTGGTAGCAACAAGTCAGGCATTTACCATTAGTCAAGCATTCAGTCAACTTGTTGACAGTTGTGACTGAATGCCTAATTGAGAGTCAAGCATTAGTGTCAATTAGGCACAGTTAGTAAACAATGCAAGTTTAATGCCAGGCACTTTGCCAGTCTGCCTCCTGGGCCACCGGCTTGCAGGAAGGAAGCCCATACTGTATTAATACAGAATTATTAATTCCGTCCTGACACATCTGGGAGGGACACAGCTTTGAGGGTCCGGTGTGGTGATGGTGGTGGGGGAGCTTAGAGAGGAACCAGGTGTGACCAGCTCTTGTGTTAGTCCTAGCTTGAAATGTCTTTGCTTCTTGTATTCGCCCACTGCAGTCACCCATTCCATTCTGCTGCCCGTCCAGCTACCCACCTGATCTGCTGCTGCCTGCCCATCCACCGACCACCTTACTCCAATATCTGCCCTGCTACCAGCCCACCCACACGTTCTGCTGCTTTCATGCTCAAATTACCCATCTGCCGACCCACTATGTCCACCCTGCCAGCCATCTCGCTACTGCCTGCCCATCCACCCACTTTGCTCCCGTCCTACTTCTCATCCATCTGCCCACCACCCACTTGTCCTCCTCACCCTTACATAAGTCTACAGTGTTGCTGTTTATGAAAGATTCTCTAACTTCTGTGTTTTAATATAAATTTGGACAAATTTTTTTGCTAATATGTCTCCCCTCCCCCACCCCTCCCCATTCGACAGACTCAGACAGCTGTCAGGTCCAATTACGTGACGTCACGTCCCGACCCGTCACGTTCCGTCCTGTCACAAGTCACGTCTGTCTACCCACCCATCCATCCATCCTATTGCCCTCCCAAATATGACTAAAAAGTTAACATTTTAGAACCTCCAAATTTAGGGGAGCCCCAGATTTAACGACTCAGGTTTAGCCCCATATAGGTAACTAATTCAGTATGTAGTGGATACTGAACAAGCCCCTCGTACTCTAGCGCGAAAGTCGATCACCAGAAACTTTCCGACGAAACTGTCATCGTACACTAAACAAAAATGTATTCAGGTGTAATCGTACACTAAGGTAACAGTGATATATGGAAGCCAGTAAAATATTTACTTGTGAGGTTAGGGGACCAAGAGGGTGTATGGCGGCAACCCGTTCTCGCAAATTTAATAAGTCAATATTGACTTATTAAATATGTGCATAGGTGACATACTTAACATAATAGATACCCTTAAAAAGATTCATAGAAAACACCGACCTTACCTAACCTACTTAGTATGTTAAGATAAGCATCTTATTGCTTCGTAATTACAATTATTACCTAACCTATAATAGGTATAGGTTAAGTAATAATTGTAATTACGAAGCAATAAGATACTTATCTTAAGATACTAACAAGGTTAGGTAAGGATGGTGTTTTCTATGAATCATTTTAAGGGTATCTATTATGTTTAGTATATCACCTATGCACGTAGTTTATAAGTCAATATTGACTTTACGAATGGCGGGTGGTGGACACGCCCGCTTTAGCTCAGAGTCGAGCCAGGCTCAGGGAGTAGAATAACTCCCAAAAATCCTTTTCAGGTATTCTTCAGGGATGCTTCAGGTATTCCAGTAAAGGATACGTACATAACAAGTTGACGAATCTTATCATTCAATAATATTGTACAGAAAGATGAAATAATAAGAGTAGTGGTTTGAGCACTACCGGTAATACTACCAAATGAGACTTACGTCTGTATGTTAAGGTCCTCCATCGCCAAGGTCCCTGGATTGCACTGTTCGCACGAGATAGGCTAGATTGACAATACGGACAGTGGCTTGGGGAATTAACTGTAAATAAAGAATATTTCCTATAAATATACTGTATTAGCAAATATTGAGAAGAACTTACTATGCAAATTTCTACATCATAAATCAAAATTGCACAGGGATATAGAAATTTGCACCGATATGATATTGCAGTGATATTACTCACCATTGTCACAATAAGTATTCAGACACTTGGAACATTTCTTGTCATAATGTCCAGGAAATGTGTTTGTGCAATTCTTACACTGTAGTTCACATACTTGATCCTTTGTAGGAGCGTAAAATCGGAAACACTCCAAACATAAGGTTTCACCAATCTTCTCCTCTGCAATGGGAGGTGGCGGCGTGTTCACAGATGGAAGACAAGTACTTGACCGGTGGAAACGAGGTCTTTTGGAAAGCTTGTACCCGCGGTGATTATACATTGCATCAAATAAGAATCTAAGATTCTAAGGTTGACGGATGCTGTGAGTGAATAAATATTAGAATCCTTTCTTTCTACACAGTGCAACCTCGATTCAACAAACTATATGGGCCCAACCCCAATTTGTTGGAGTGAGGGATTCATTCATTGCAACCAAAGATGGTTGCCTGAGGGAGCCTGAGAGCTGAGTGGACAGCGTATTGGATTCATAGTCCTAAGGTTTCTGGATCGATTCCCTGTGGAGGCGGAAAAAATTGGGTAGAATTTCTTTCGCCCTGATGTCCTGTTCACCTAACAGTAAATAGGTACCTGGGAGTTAGACAGCTGCTAAGGGCTTCCTCCTGGGGGTGAGTAACAAAATGGAGGCCTGGTTGAGGACCGGGGCAGCGGAGACGCTAAGTCCCATAATCATCTCAAGATAGCCTCAAGCAGGTGGATTCAGGAGGCCCATAAGAGGAAAGGAAAGGCTGCGTGAGATGCACCTCACGACACGGAAGTCAGAAGAGTAAGGGCAGACATGATCACTACCTACAAGATTCTCAGAGGAATTAACAGGGGTAGATAAACTGTTTAACACGGGTGGTACGCGAACAAGGGGACATTTAAAACTCAGGTGGAGACCGAGTACCCAAATGAGCCACGGGCATTAGAAAGAATTCTTTCAGGGTCGGTAAATAGTAAATGGAATGCATTAGGCAGTGATGTGGTGGAGGCTGACTCCATACACAGCTTCAAGTGTAGATAAGACAGAGCCCAGTAGGCTCAGGAACCTGTACACCAGTTGATTGACGGTTGAGAGGCGGGACCAAAGAGCCAAAGCTCAACCCCCGCAAGCACAACTATGTGAGCACAAAACTAGGCCAAATCACATTCACAACGCACAGTACTAGGCCTAATTACACTGCCCTCCCACAGTACTAGGCCTAATTACACTGCCTTCCCACAGTACTAGGCCTAATTACACTGCCCTCCCACAGTACTAGGCCTAATTACACTGCCCTCCCACAGTACTAGGCCTAATTACACTGCCCTCCCACAGTACTAGGCCTAATTACACTGCCCTCCCACAGTACTAGGCCTAATCACACTGCCTTCCCACAGTACTAGGCCTAATTACACTGCCCTCCCACAGTACTAGGCCTAATTACACTGCCCTCCCACAGTACTAGGCCTAATTACACTGCCTTCCCACAGTACTAGGCCTAATTACACTGCCCTCCCACAGTACTAGGCCTAATTACACTGCCCTCCCACAGTACTAGGCCTAATTACACTGCCCTCCCACAGTACTAGGCCTAATTACACTGCCCTCCCACAGTACTAGGCCTAATTACACTGCCCTCCCACAGTACTAGGCCTAATTACACTGCCCTCCCACAGTACTAGGCCTAATTACACTGCCCTCCCACAGTACTAGGCCTAATTACACTGCCCTCCCACAGTACTAGGCCTAATTACACTGCCCTCCCACAGTACTAGGCCTAACTACACTGCCCTCCCACAGTACTAGGCCTAATTACACTGCCCTCCCACAGTACTAGGCCTAATTACACTGCCCTCCCACAGTACTAGGCCTAATTACACTGCCTTCCCACAGTACTAGGCCTAATTACACTGCCTTCCCACAGTACTAGGCCTAATTACACTGCCTTCCCACAGTACTAGGCCTAATTACACTGCCCTCCCACAGAAAACAAAGTGAATCATACCCCCCCCCCCTCCAAAGTCCGCCATACAGTTATAAGCTTACCCGAGGCGGCGCGCGCGCACGTCCGTCCTCCTCACTGGCCAGTGACACACTGACGGGCCGTAGGTGATGTCTATACAGGGCTGCCAACTTCATTTTCAGTTTTACACCAAAAACCAAAAATACACAAAAATGAAAACATCTAAAAATATTTATATTTTCCTGATATACAGCTAAAATGTATTGCGTATTACTAGCTAATCCTCTAGTACAGTGTGAGTGGCCCTCAGGTAAATACATAATTATGCTGAAATTTAATGAAATAATAAAGCCTACTCACTAAATACTAAAGCCTTAAATAATAATGCTATTTTTTTCTTTATTAACAACTTTACGTATAGACAGCAATGTGCTGCTAGCCTATTCTATATGAAAATTACAGTGTAGATAAAAAAAACTCGTCATGATGCTACTTTTATTATAATTATGAATTATTAGTTTATATAATCCACCCCCCCCCCATCTCACAGGATAGTTAGTCATACGTGGACTCAGGAGAGAACATAAAATGTAAGATTGATCTACTAGCCTCCACTAGCAAACTCTTGAGTACAGCACAAGACTATCTTCCAAATATTCCTGAGTGCATGAAGTAATTTCAGAGCTCAAAGTACTTCATACCATTTGCTTTGGTCACTCGTAACGGGACAATCACAGATATAGTGTTGGAGAGTATTGTCGGAAAATCCGACACCATTTAATAATAATATCATACAGACAGATAAGAGCTGCTGTATTACCAACAAGTTACCCATAGAAAACGTAACTTGTAGTGGAATTACCGTCTAAAGAAAACGGGATATCATCACCACATACTATTATAATTCACCAGCTATTTTGCTGGGAATTATTCTTAAATACATTAGTCTTTGGACTTTACCATCATAAAAACATCTTATATAAATTAACTTAATTATCAATATTAAAGTAGAGTAAATGTGACCCTTCTATCACTTTCTGAAATCTGGACAAAGTAGGCCAGGCGTCAGGGAGGAGGAGGGCAGCCATTGTTGTGTCACCTCCGAGACGTGTGGAGCAAACGGCTCCTATCATTCTGGACAATGTCGGCCAGTAACGTCAATAGGATGGAGTGTTAAACAGCCATTGTGTATACGAGACCAGAGGCACACGGGAGCAAATGCGGCTCCTGTTAGTTTTGCTTGGACGTGGTGTTATGGAAACCAAAGGTACCATCTCCAACACGATGTCTACAATTCAAGTTAAGTCTATCCGAAACCCGTTTATCATTCATTTATGGCCATTAATGTCAGGATATAGGGTGACCCGGTTAGATCGCGAAATCGCCTCATACTAAAGGTAATTAAGCCAGGTCCTCATGTTCCATGTAGTGTTTTCTCTGATATAGCTTGTCATATATAGGATTCTGGCTTTACAGCTAGCGCACTTTTGACAGGTCAAGACGAGGATGCAAGATTTGTGCACCAGTTACTGGGTGATATGGAAGCTACCTCAAAGAGGATAATTTGGTGTCTACACCCTAGTTATACCTGGTGGACTAACCTGCTGTACTATAAGATAAGGAACCTCTTCAATGTATGTAGTTACTGTAGTTTGATTGGCTGCATACATATAAATATAAACCCCCCTAATGTGTAGAGGATCGATTTGTGAGATTATGAGATTATTGCAGAAATACAGTCCACTTATCATTATACAAATTGCTATCGAAGTATATAAATTAACGTAAATATAAATTCATATAAATTAAATAAATATAAATCTCACAGGTCGGTTCCCACATTATTTGGTCATCTTCGAACCGGATGACGGATTATTTGATCCTTTGAACCCACATTTGGTCATCTTAGTACCGGATGAACCAGTTAACCAAACCAGTGGATTCATTAAATATACTAGTGCAGTGTTATTTAAACAAAGCCAGTCAAGACAGCGGCGTTGCCTCGTGGGAGCTCAGGAGCCTCCCTCAGCCCAGTTCAGCTTCGTCAGCGGTTTCATGCACACCCACAGATATTTGGTGGCGTGTTATTTCGTGAAATGACAGCGCTAATATTGAAGCCAGCCAAATGTAGTGGCTGTGGTGTCGCGTGATTCTACGAATTTTGTGGAGTTTATTTCGCGAGGTCACTAATAATATTTAATACTTCTTGATAATATTAGAAGTTTCATAGAGGCTAATTAAGAGGCTATTATCAATAATTGTGTATATTATTTCTCCAAAATAGAGAATTATTTAATATATATTGCACTAGTGATCTCAATATAATATTTACTAATTGCCAACCCACAACAGGGTAGGATATGACTAGTTGAACTATTATCGTTCATCCTAGTCCCATTATTACCATAGTCAGTTGTACTATATTGATCAACCTAACACCATTAATGAATGGTCCAGACCCTATTTTGGGTGTAATTTTTATCAACTCGAATTGAGTTGTATATATAATAATTTACTTATGATCATTACACCTTTGAGTGATTAATTAGTGTCTCTTCCATCCTAGGGTGATATAGAAGAGCTAACCTAAAGGTACTTCCAGTGACACTGGTTTATCACTCAAATCATTAGTGTGGATGATTGTATATATATATAATGTGTATTAATTTTAAGTGCTAACCTCTAGTAGAGGTAGGATTATTGCCTAGTGAGTTCAGAATTTACCCTAGGCTACCATTAGTGTTTGTTCAGTATTATGAGCAGCCCAAGTACAAGTCCCACAAGGCTTCACCAACTAGCCAGTATGGATAATGCAGGGAGAATGAAAAGAACCCTTGCAGGTCTTAAAGGCCACTTAACAGGACAGATCAAGAAATGTGAAGATTTGTCACAACAATCAACAGTTGATTATGCTGACCTGGAAAGCTATTATCAAGCAGCTGCAGGTAAATTTGAGCAAATCAAATGCCAAATGGCTGTCCTTGTGGGGACAGACTACTACCATCAATTCATCGGTAGCCCTACTAAATATCAGGGTATAACCATGTTAAACTCTGCAGGAGGTAAATTACTCTCAGGCCCAGTATCAAGCCTGAGGAGACCTATGCCTGCAGATAAACAATACCAGTAGAAATCTAAATTTGTCAGCTGATTATATTTCTCCAGTAGCATTATACTAAGGAGATTACAGCTGACTATACCAACAGAGGTTGATGTTAGTATCATCATTTAAAGCTGAAGATGAGTTCATGAGGCCTCAGTGGCAAATCAGTGAACAGTAGCCTAAAACAGCTACAAGTCACTGCGACCAATGTCACTGAACCCACTGCAGTCTCAGAACCATACTTTACTTTAATGATGAGCTATTCAATCTTCTGAATCAATTAACTAAATTAAACCCCAATAAATTTGATGACTGATTTGATACATTTATTATTTAATCAAGATGTATTCCATGGGCCTCAGTGTTTATATATCAGTGACCAGTTACCTGAAGAAACTTCAAGTTATATCTAATGTCACTGATCTCACTGCAGTCCCTGAATCATACTTGACTGT